GCTCAGTGTCTACTCGATTAGCCAGTGACATATTCTTTCAATCATTATTAAGCACAAATAATTAGTGAAACTGGAAGCAACTCAAGGAGCTGTGCTTAAGACGTACGCTAAGGTCTTTATGCAACGGAATTATTGTAATTACCTAATTAAAGGGAGAGTTGTAGCTTGCTTAGAGTCACAATAGTCACCAGCGTTGAATAACGAAATCATAAGTCGAGGTAGCATGTTACGAAGGCGTATACATTGTGTTCTACAATGATTCCGAAAGCTGGTGAGAATTCTTAGGTATACTTCATCCTCATTATTGAACAACTATTTATACACTAAATTTCTTAGATGCAATCTTACTGAACTCTAGTATTCATATGTTCAAAAGCAGAAACTTCTTTTCATGACCTAAGTACTTAGTAAAGTGTCGACTTAATTAGCACGGTATTGTACGGTACCATAATAGTAATGCAGTTATTTGCTTTCTTTTCTGTTGTGATTTTGGTTTACTACAGCAAGAAATCTAAAGATGAATACCAACACAAAGTTACGTGTACTAGTAATATCCATAACAATATAATATACATATACTGCTATAAACAGTTATGCACACACGAAATCTTAAGTTAAATGAAGCCGACTAAGATGGTTGTTCTGCATGGACATTATACTCTGTAAATATTTTAAAAGATGTGCCTTACGGTTACTAAAACTTTTTTTTTGTCATTTGACGGTAGTTACACCTGTACTAATGGGGTAAACTTCCCGTTCTAACTTGGCTAAACAGAATTTAATTTTCTCTGGCATCGTTATTCATTTACATATCGCATACTAGGTGTGCTATTTGCATGTAAAACGTAATAGACTTCTTAACTCATTTGCCTCGAAGACCATTATTTTATGCGCTACTACTGCTTGCAGCCAACTTAACTAGACATAGTGCTTTTCTTACGAGATATCAATACATCACTCCGCGAAAGGACTTGCCTCACACGGTAAACTCATTTAGACGTAGTATCCCGGTTGCTTGACCTCTTTTGCTGATTCCAAGCTTCGGGATCTATAACATGTTTGAAACAATGTACCTGAGACAATTTCAGGTTTTTGACACTTCTTTACTGTGTGTTACGATGATACTCATGCCTGGTTATCTTGGCCTTACTTAGAGCATAACATACGTTTTTCTGAGGTTCCTTGTTAAACAACAAAATAATTATTAAAATAAGTTTCAGTTTTACATTCTACCTCTTTTGGCCTATAACAAGCATGCGTCAAGCTACCATCAGCGTATATCATTATTTCATACGCGCATTTATGAGCATTCGCAATAGAACAAAAGCAGAGGTCCCAACAGTAATCTCCGCAGTCCGGTGGAAAGATCTAATTAACGCAGTGCTCCCTGCCCTCATATATTGTTTCTCTCTTGCAGATAAAACTATGACTTAATTTTTTAATTGAACCCAACACATATTTTCCATTCTTGATTAGGAGATCAGCCTTGCTTACTATTGAGGTCCCGTTTTAATGGTGAAGATTATACTGTGGCTACCGCATAGTCGCAGCTACGAAAAACGAAAGTGTATTTAAGAGAAGATTTAGATATTTCAGATAGACTGTAGTTCGTTTGAGGAGTTTTTCTAATATCACATTAGTAGATGGTGGCGATTTATACGAAAAAAAAATTGAGATAGTATTGATACTTCTGCTCGTTTTAAAATCGGTGCAACTTTGTCGATTAATATAACTAAATAGTTTGTACGGTGACTATACTGTTTACTGGGTGCGTTGGTGGTTATGTTATGATAAACTTTAGTATTGTATAATCGGTAAACTGTAGCTTCTAATTACGCTTGTTATGGAGTAACCGATGATCTCTCTAAACATACTTCTTTCTTGTGATAATTAAATACAGGTACCTCTAATAATTTTCGCGATATCTGGAATCATTTGTCGAAAGAAGTTCACGCTTACCTATTCAATGGAATAAAATACCCATGGAATATTTTCTCTCATTCAAACTATACTAGCCTTGTCCAATCACACTTTCGGTTGATGGCCTATAGTTTTATACAAGACTGCAATTGTATAAAGTGTCGCAAAGTTCGAGATCGATCCCTTAAGAGGTTCAAGGTTTGGTAACAGCTTATAAAAAACTGCGAAAGAGCTCTTCGTTCACGACTTTAGTATTAGATACTACTTTAGAAATAATCGTACGAGATTTACTCCCATGATTACGTGGGGAAGGCAGGCGCGCGTAGAAAACTTCGTTTTTCATTGAAAAACCATAGGAAGTCATAAAGATTTTGAATTTATTACGTTTGATTTCTCAGTATTGAATAACTTAGGCTTTTCAGTGCTTTCAAAATATCTGTGTAAAATTAAGGTTTAATTTAATATCATTCAAACGCCAGCGGAGTGCTCAAATTCACTTGACTTGCAGAGAGGCATAAAATATTGATATTTCAATACGAAATACATAAGCTAAATTTTTAATAGGTTGTTTTTAAGTACCTATAAGAGTAAAGAAGAACTTCAACATGAATTTTTTTTTTAATCGATAGTAATTTTTATGTACATCTACGTTGCTCTACTGAAAGTACCCTCTGTAAATTTTATGTGAGGTTCTTTTATCTACTTCGTACGCAGTACTCTATTCTACTGGTAAAAATGATCTATTTGGCCATTGTCGCTATAAGAACATCGTAAACATCATTAAGGGTACGTTTGTGTGATTTATAGTTCTAATTAGAATACTGTAGAACTATGGGAGAAGATAACGAGGCAACCGTAACGTGAAGAGATAATGGGTTACCCCCCCCCCCCCCCCCCAATAAATAACAAATCTCAAGGAGCCCCTGCACAAATCGATTTTAATTTTGACTACTTCTTCATGAGTAGCTGATGTTTTTACAGTAGTCCGGAATAGGGACCAGTGGCGAAAATGCTTACCTTCGACTTGCAAGGTTAGATCAAAGTTAGTTTTATGATGGTTTTAAAATTGGGTTTTTACTCATTTAAAGCGTAGTACGCAATTATGCTCAGTCAAGAGGTTGTAAGTCTACAGTGGGTAAACTTTTACAAAGTCTATCCAGTAAAACCAAATCGTAGACAAACTGATCTAAATATTGAACTTTTGGCTAGAAATGCTTTTACGGTTATATTGAAAAGGGCAAGAACGGTTAAATTTTGGAAAATATGATATTTGAAATCACGTACATTAAATTAATAATAATTAATAATACTCAAATACATTAATAATTACTGCTTCAAAACTTATTTGCGTTTGATAGCATGATTGAGGTACCCTGTACGACTAAATGCATAAGAAAACAAAATGCTTATTAAATTTATTGAAATACTAAAGTGTTAGTTTAGCTGACGTGACGTGAGCTGACGTCAAACCCCCAAAGAGCTATTGTACTACTGTTGAATGTACTGTACTGATGTAATCTATGAATTAGATTATCAAGTGTAATGATTTCCGAATATCAGGCTGTCACAAGCCAATCTCGCGGAAGCAAAAACACCAAGCACTGCAGAAAAACGTCGATTGGCGAGAATATTAGGCAAGGAGGTCTTTGAACTCAATACGTGAATGGTGCAAACGTTGAAAACAGATCGGTGAATTCCAGCGAGGACATGAGTAGATGTCTGGACTTGGAAGTCCAAAAGACAAACGCATAGCTGCTATCGAGGAGGTTTTTCACGGAAACAGGATTGGAGCCTCAAAGCTTGTCAGTCAAACGGGATTTCATATGTAACGTGCTATGAAATTATTCAATACTGGAAATGTAGAAAGTACGAAAGAAATCCATTCCCCGTAAATTAGCTTTAAGCCAGTTAATAATGGCGTGTAGTATATTTCGCATACAAATCGCGAAACTGAAAAACCGCCTCAGCTTACGGTTGCCATATACGAGGCATGGTGTAATCCATACCGCCAGCCGGAGAGACACCAAACGGAAGAATGACATGACCCTAAGGGTTCAGTAGCAGTGTTAAATATATTCAGTCGTAAGGTGACAGGGGACGACGTAAGGGCTACTATATTCTCGCCGAAAATAAAACAATGAATGCAGCCCATTATTTCCTGAGATTCGTGGATCGTTGGTACGGCGATCGAAAGCATGCAGTGTGATACTTGATGACCAGATCTTATCGTCATGCGCTAATTATTTCCTGGATTAAGCAAATGAATATTTAGCACTGACTTCTACTTGCTTACTTTATGTGCGATTATGGGGCTTTCCAAGCCCTAAAAAGGGCAATTGGTCGGCAAGCATACCGCACGATCGATGTAGTTCGAGAAACCATAACTAAAGAAATTACGTACAGGAAAGCGAATCACAGGTGCGTCGCTGCTCATAAGCTGTCAGAGTGCTGGGACAGATATGTAAAAGCTATATTAAACACACAACTAGTTCAAAACTCGATATATATGTGTAGCTTGTAATAACATGATATTTAATAACACCACAATATGCACGTAGGCGATTTTTACGCTACACAAAATTGTGGCCAACATATTGCGTACCTATCCAACGAAGGTAGGTTTTCCAGCGGGAGCCGGTCTCAGCCAAGCTGAAATATCGCCAACTTAACAAATCATTAGGGTGCTCGTTGCAAGTGTCTGTCCGTAGAAAACTATTAGACAGCACGGCCAAAGATTACATATATATTGCGTGGTAGATTCCTCGCAACGAATATTTTCTATAGACGACTAAATGCTTTGTGTCGAATATGTTATAACGTGCTAATTAGCCTGTGACTAATACGTAACAATAGCCCAGGAATATAGTTATGTAAGGTTTACATAAAGGGGGTAAGCAAAGTAATTTTGCCCGATTGAACCAGAGTGGTTGAAATAACTATACTGATTTTTTAGTTAAAGGTTTCTAGCGCTTCGGTTTGATTCGCGTTGAAGCACTATGTGTGTAGCTGACGAATATGCTATCGTGTCAGCACGACATTGCAAAGCATCTAAAATTAGATAATTTTGTAAACAGTTTGGTGGAAATGTGTTGCAAGAATCCGTTTACGCGAAGATCCGCCAAAACTTGCCAAATTTAGATTTAACGAGATTCGCAAGAAATGGCCGAAGAACCAACGTTTTCAACTTCATTTCATCAATGTCATCAACTTCGATTTATAAGGTAACCTGTACATGACAAAAACTTCATCTAACACCTGTCTAGAAATAATCAAATGTTTACGTCGCTAAAACAGAGGGTTGCTTGTGAACGGAGCCACTGTTCACAACTACAACTGTGGCAGTTTTGTAACGTTGACCTAAAGGCTCACTCACGCGTCACTATCGAAATGAACGGACAGTATAAACAGCTTTCGTAGCGCTCACTTCGTAATAAATGCGTAGCAGACGATTCAGTGTAGAGTTGTTACATCTCAAACATATTTAAATGGTCAAAAAGTTAAATTTAACTTTTTGACCATTTAAATATGTTTGAGATTTTTTTGTGCTCGTGGCAGCTAAGGATGGTATATACATATGTATATATATGTTTATATATATACATATACACATACACACACTCACATATGCATATATATATGTATCTATATATATATATATATATATATAGATATATATATATATATATATACATACACATATATATATACATACACATATATATACATACATATAATGGATAATTATAGGCGGCAAATATCGTGATTCATTACTTTATAACATTAAATTATAATTTTGCATAGAAGTTTACAATGGAAAAGATCGGTTTCATACTTAATGAGACAATCTCAATGATCTAATGTCACGGGATATATTATATATGGATTATATAAATAATTAACTGCTTTTTTATTTTAAATCTGTTTCGGATTAATGATTAGGACACCCACCATAGCTATGGACGGGACTCGTGTCGCTATATCGAAAACTGGCGGGCATTTTCAGACTTCTGATTGGCCTACGGGTTGAACATTCTCGAAGGTTCGCGCGTGACGTCACAACGAAATTGAACAAAAGCAAATTTCCGGGGAGCCGGCAGATCACTCGTTCGCTAGCTGCGTGGTTCAGAGCTTGAAGTTCGTGTGTATGATTATTTATTTTCGAAGCGCACAGAAATGTAAGTATATTGTGATTATTAAAGTGCAGTGAAAAGTACTCGTAGACTGGTGAATATAATCTAGATTTGTGTTGAAAAGATTTCTGGTGGTCCGAATTTCCGTCCTGTTTCACCGTACTAATTAAAGACATTAGTACTGTCTGGAAGGTGTTTCTTGCAAAATAAAAATGTTAAATGATTAAAATATGTCTACTGAACTGTTGCATCTGAAACGATATTTGGTGGTTTGACCGCTCATTGTAGGATTCGCGAAGACTAAGAACTGTTCATAGGCTTCCAAAGGTGCTTATTTTACTGGCTGTGTAAAATCGGTTTGCATCAGCCCGCCTTTTAACTACATTGGGTGTACTCAGGCGGCCGTTGGCCTTATGACTAGATCAGCTAGTGCCATGGAGTAATCCTGTGTTGTGCAACGATTTTGAGATATATAGTTGTATATGATAAGAGCGAAATTATATCTTCTGCCGGTTAATAATAGTATATTTATATAAAGTGGTTTATAAAATATGTAACGTGTACACCTGTGCGTTCTTTGTTGCAATGTATGTGTTATATCGAATTTCATCTTCTATCGCCACAGCAGTATCCAACCGCTAGGCCAAGCAAAATGGCAAAGACCCCCGCAATCGGCATCGACCTGGGAACAACTTACTCGTGCGTGGGAGTGTTCCAGCATGGCAAAGTTGAGATCATTGCTAACGATCAGGGAAACCGAACCACGCCGTCGTATGTAGCGTTCACCGACACTGAGCGTCTCATTGGAGACGCTGCCAAGAACCAGGTTGCCATGAACCCTAGCAACACCGTATTTGGTAAGTTGTAGAGTTACGTGACTTGATCTTTTAGTATGAATTTAATCGTACGTAGTTTCGTTTCATTTTTTCCTTTTCATAACTATTATAAGCAGCGAATTATGTCCTCGCTATACTTGTTCCGATATCAACATTCAACTTAGTAGGATCGTCATTCGAATTAGCGTACTGCCGATTAGTAGAGTTCACAATCAACTTAACAAGCACGGGAATCGTTCTTATCGCTTTCTCTCATACTCATTTAGGTACATGTAAGAGGTTCGACTATTTTATGTCGATATGGTATCTCTTATAGGTCATTGTCAAGGAACATTAAGATGTAAAGCTATAAATTTTCGTTTCTTGTAATTCAGTTCCGAATGATTGAATTTTAATAAGGGAAAGTTGAGATTTCACAGCCTTTGTCGATTTAGGCGAAAACGGCTTCTTCATCGTCAGCCTTTTTGTATTCGCGGTACAAAGTGATGAAATCTAAGTCATATCTTCTCCTATCGAAGACCTTGTGGTATTAGCAATATGTGCAGATCATTTTCTTGTGAAGCACAAGCGCAGAATCTTAGTCACTAGCAAAGATGCGCCTGAACCAAATTCTTTAGTTATTTCTATACTGTGATAAGTAATTGGTTTAAGGTTTTAGCGGTGCTACAGATTCTAAAATAAAATTAACATGATTAATTTTATTCCCATGTGATTTTCTTTAAATATTTGATCAAAATTATTTTAATTTTGAATTGAATAAAAATGGGAAACGCATACATGAACACTAAATTTTGAGCTTGCAAACCTTGTACTTCTCTCATATTTTTGATGACATTGATGACTTTCACATGAATCTTATAAGTGACATTCAGTTTACATGCATATACCAAGGAACACATGAAACTGACGTCTAGAGGACCTGCGTTCAAGCTATTAGGTTCTACGCACGGCAATTATTGGTTAATTTGCATAAAAAGTTTCCGTCCGTGAGTATTTCTCACAGTGTGGCACTAGCAGCTGCCGGTGTTATATTACGCTGAATCGTCTGTTCACCATATGCAAAGTTGTAAGCCGCTTAGTTGTTGGCCTGTGTTGTATTAATCGTACCTAATTTGCTAATTGTTTCTTTCCAGATGCCAAGCGTCTCATCGGCCGCCGCTTCGACGACAGCGCCGTCCAGTCAGATATGAAGCATTGGTCATTTGACGTAGTAAACGACGGGGGCAAACCAAAAATCAAGGTGGATTTCAAAGGAGAGTCTAAGACTTTTTTCCCAGAGGAGATCTCATCAATGGTGTTGACAAAAATGAAGGAGATCGCTGAGGCGTACCTGGGCACTTCTGTTTCTCACGCCGTAATCACAGTGCCTGCGTACTTCAATGATTCCCAGCGTCAGGCAACCAAGGATGCCGGAACCATTGCTGGTTTAAATGTGCTCCGCATTATTAACGAGCCGACAGCTGCTGCCATTGCCTATGGTCTAGATAAGAAAGGATCAGGTGAACGTAACGTCCTTATCTTCGATCTGGGCGGCGGCACTTTCGACGTGTCAATTTTAACTATTGAAGATGGCATTTTTGAAGTCAAATCAACTGCAGGTGATACGCATTTGGGAGGAGAAGATTTTGATAACCGCATGGTAAACCATTTTGTACAAGAATTCAAGCGAAAACATAAGAAAGACTTGACTTCAAATAAGAGGGCTTTGCGTCGTCTCCGTACCGCTTGCGAGCGTGCAAAACGGACATTGTCATCGTCGACTCAAGCTTCTATCGAAATTGACTCTCTATTTGATGGAGTCGATTTTTATTCGACTATCACGCGTGCGCGCTTTGAAGAGCTTTGCTCGGATCTTTTCCGTTCTACCCTTGAGCCGGTTGAAAAGGCTCTGCGCGATGCGAAGATGGATAAGTCTGCGGTGCACGATATTGTACTCGTTGGAGGTTCAACTCGCATTCCACGTATTCAGAAATTGCTTCAAGACTTTTTCAATGGCAAGGAGCTTAATAAATCAATCAATCCCGATGAAGCCGTTGCGTACGGAGCGGCGGTACAAGCTGCTATTTTAATGGGTGATAAGTCGGAAGCTGTTCAAGACCTACTTTTGCTTGATGTGACACCTTTGTCCCTTGGTATCGAGACCGCCGGCGGTGTTATGACCGTTCTTATTAAACGAAATACTACTATACCAACACGTCAGACTCAAACATTTACGACATACTCAGACAATCAGCCTGGTGTGCTGATTCAGGTTTACGAGGGAGAACGCGCTATGACGAAAGACAACAACCTTCTAGGTAAATTCGAGCTTACGGGTATTCCGCCTGCACCTCGTGGTGTACCACAGATTGAGGTTACATTTGACATTGACGCCAATGGAATCCTTAACGTGTCGGCAGCTGACAAGTCGACTGGAAAGGAAAACAAGATCACGATTACAAACGATAAGGGTCGTCTTTCTAAAGAGGATATTGAACGTATGGTCAAGGAAGCCGAGCAGTATAAGGATGAAGACGACAAGCAGAAGAACAAGATTGCTGCGAAAAATGCGCTTGAGGGATATTGCTACACAATGAAAGGCACTTTCGAGGATGACGGAATTAAAGACAAGGTTTCCGAAGAAGATAGAAAGACTGTGCTGGATAAAATTGAGGAAACCGTTAAATGGCTGGATGCCAATCAGCTCGGAGAATCCGAAGAATTCGAGCATAAGCAGAAAGAGCTTGAGCAAATCTTCAACCCTATAGTAACGAAAATGTACCAGGCAGGAGGAGGCATGCCCGGAGCGGGTATGCCCAGCGCCGGTGGTGCTACCACCACTGGAGGAGCACCCGGCACCGGAACCGGAGCAGGTCCGACTATTGAAGAAGTAGATTAATAATTGTAGGAACAGCAATTGGTCAGCGTACGTGCTTTCTACCGATGTAGATGCTAACCATTGAACACCTCAAATTCTCCTCGCCACCTCCTCTGTACATTGCTCTTTCTGAAATGCAAAGATTACACGAACGCTGAAGAAAATTGAGGATAAATAAATTATGTTCATTTTTTGTTGCATTGCTAAGGGAAAACAAGTTTTTTTATTCAATAATTATAATAGGCGAGTAATACTGTCAGCAGATGCAACGTATCTTTAACTAAAAAAATCAAAGAAATGTTTTAGAGTAAAACCGGTTAACACTAGAGAAAATTTATAGACAAGTCAATTTAGATTAGACATTTATGAATTATAAAAACAGGTAGCAGCAAATATTGAAACTAAGTTGTTAGTACAATGATCGGTAACCGTTTCAAATATTTCGAGGTTCCTTATTTCAATGCTTCCCGTCAACCTCAAAACTATCGAAAGAGTCTTTTAGTCTGTGTGCAACCTTTCAGATCCTTTATACAGTTTATACAAAATTATCTAAATAAGTCTAAAGACTCCGCATTTCATAGTGTTACTTGCTGATTGTAATAAAATAATGAAACGTTATGCATTATAGATTTATTGCAAAGTTCCTTAAGTTTTATTTAAACTGCCATGCGTTGCGGAAGCTACTGCTCCTTTGTAGTCATCAAGCGTATTTGGATCACACGTCTGCATGACGTATGCATGACAAAAATGTGCGGCTCATCATGAGCTAACCTAGCTTGATTTTGTTGTGTATATTTTATCGAAAGGCCTCTAAATATAAAGTGATTTTGTAAAGGGACCTTATCAAGTTTTGTGGAGATCTATAAGCTGTGGATTGTCCCAACTTCCCCATTGTCCACCCCACAGATTGGGATTTTGATGAGACCAATGTGGTATCGGTGATTCATCCACGACATGAATGTCTCCGTCCTCATCAGAAATTTCGTTGCAGTTGTAAAGTTTGTTAACACGTTCAACATCAGCCGCGCTAAGACCGTGCTTTTCGTGGACCTCAACCAGGACGCCACCGTCTTTCCGGGTCATCGAGTACTGACCATTATTAGAAAAAGATCGCGATCCATACAACATAACGGATTCGTAGTCAAACCTATTGAAGAAAAGATTTTCGCTGGGTGCCAATTTTTGGAACTGCGGATAGTACAGCGGGTTGACGTTGTGCAGATAAAGGTCGATATACTGGTCCCTATAGCGACAAGGAGAAAAAGTTTTGCTTAATAACGTGTATATTACTTTAAAAGGTCCATGTCTTTATTATTTTCATACATATGTGTATTTTAAAGCTAATTATTACATACGAACTTGCTTAATAACGCTTTTGTCTATAACTTAAATATAGCCCAGTATTTTAGAAACACACAATTATCGAACTCTGTAAACATATATTGCACCACAATTTATATTATATGATTGCAACCATACCTTTACGTACTTCAGCTATTCTTCTATTAGTATGAATCATCGGAATCGCCTTTAGATATTGTTTAATTTCTAGAAATGGTCTGCTTCAGGGCTTTTTTATCCTACCTATAAGAGGATCGGGTAACTGTACCAAAAGCCACTAAGGATACCAACCTTTTTAATTTCCTTATTAAATATTTTATTACCACCTATCAACGCTGAAACTTGGAGCAAGGGTGGCTGTTTTGCATTCAAATTGCGCATTGTACAGGATTGCTATGGCAGCGCTCTTAGATATGCGTATTAGCCATCCAAATCCCAACACGTGCAAATCATATATTGACATATTTTTGGCAACAAGCACCAACGCTCAAGAGATGAGCAAGCATTCATCTCGTTCTCACAGATGCTCAAAGGTGTGAAACCTAGATTCAAGTTCGTCGGGAGTGTTATGTCGTACCCAATTGTGGTTATCCGTGTTGTCTAGCTGCAATTGCCTCTTTACCCTGTTTCACTTAACCCATTACATTATTTTGTCATTCTATTTTGTTGCTCCATTTATCCTATAACTCTGTTTCAGCAGGTCAACCACATTTTCAGAGTAATTTTTTCTTGGTTATCCAGTTACTCTAATTTTGATATATTAGCTGGTGATCTTATCGTTTCATTACTTTCTAACATCTGCACTGTTCCTATCCCGCATTGCCACTGTAAATAAAACACTGCTTTGTTACCAGTAAGCTGTTGCCTATTGAAATTACTCCATGGAATGGAGCAACTTAGGAGTGAATATTTTAAGGATAAATTAGCTTCAGCTTCTAATAAGTAGAAATATTAATCCAGTGGTGAAGTGCGACATCTAAGCAATGTAAAAATACCATTACTTTCATAAGCTCTTGAATGCTTTTGATTATATAGCAGAAAAATTGAAAGTTTTTAACTCGGTTATCGAAGGTTTTGACCAAATAGGTTAAAATCCTATTTTGTAGCTATTTTGTAAAATTCGAGAAAGCTGCCTGAAGAAGCCCTGTTTTTCCGGTCAACCTTAGAGTTGACGAGGAAGTCGTTTACCTTTTCAAGTGTAAAGTGGATGTTTCCGAAACATACATTCCTTCAGAGTATAAAATAAGGTGTAACTTCATATGTGTAAGTTACCAAATGATAACAGCCGTTAACAGTTAGCTATTTTTAGTATAAACCCTTCGTGTTTTATTTTACCTAATTGAGGTGGAAGTACGCCCTCTAGACCATTATTATCATTCTTTCTTGTTCCATAACTCCCTTCGTACGACTGTATTATATTGCCCTATATGTTACCTGTCACTGCGGGTATGCTCATGATAGAATCCTGCAACATGTCCCAGCTCATGTACAGCGGTTCCATGAAAATGGCAGCCCCGACCTAAGGATAATGGTTGCTCTCCACCAACCATGCCTACGTTAGCATAACATCCTTGGCCATAGAAAATCCTCACGAAGTTGCCTCTACCGCGACCCTGTTGGAATCTGGACATAAAAAAAAAACTGTTAAATTATGTCAAACGCAGCTAATCTGTACGAAAAACCAAACAATACCGTGGGGGCTGGAAGCAAGAGTAGGTGCATAGGCGCCTTTAATCTTTGTTGTGCCGCAGCTAGTATAGATAGGTGTTCTACCATTCATTTTAATAGCTTCATTGGTTATGCTGATGTGTGAAACAATTGCGAACTATGGAAAATGGAACAAGTGGCTAGAGTAATAAAAAAAAGGAGAAAATCAATAAGGATTGTATATGCTCTTGTGATGGACCAAAAATATCTAATCAAAAAGTCGTTGTAAGTGTCCGCATTTGAAGTCCTTTAACCCTAATCATTAATGCTTCAAGTAAGTATTTATCCGAATCGTGAAAGGCACATTCGCAAACTGCGATCAGCTAATCAGTTTTGAGGGGTATAACCTGATACATGTTTTCCGGTGGTACTCTTCAATTGCACGTTCGATGAGTCCGCTATAGCCTTGTAGTGAGTAATCGATTTCATAGTAGATTACATTTTGAGGCCAGAGCCGACTATATTCGCTGATAGCATTGTAAGACAAGTTTCCATCCACGGGAAATATGTCACCTGTGTATTTGTAACACAGCCAACAAAACAAAATCAACGTAAGACAAGAGTGTACTTTACTGGTGTATTTTTATAGAAAAGGTATTTGGCGTCGCAGACTTGAACCTACAGTTCGCGATCCTTCTTCATTATAAACATGGCTGTCCAAGTCACCGGTACCGTAGATCCAGGTATAATTTCACTACTGAAAAAAGTGGGGTATTTACTTAACTATCCCCTAATATGGCAAGGGGATATTCGTGATACCTAGTTCTGTTATATCTAAATTTAATAGAACTTCCACATTCTTTTTTTAATACAACATTGTAATGAAAAAGTGTTTATCGTTATAGCAGAAGCTTCTTCTTCGAGCGATTTTTTTCAGTATGTGATGCAGCACAAGTTTTATATATTATACATTATATATACACGCAGGTAGAAAAATCGATTGATTTTAGCTGAAAACATTATATATATATATATATACAATTTTGTTCCTACTAGGTGATTAGTTGCGGTGTTCTAGGAAACGACCGGAGGGCGAGGGATATTAATTCTAGTCAATCATATTATTTAATTCCTGTGTCAAATATTCTGAAACTCTGCATCAACCGTCAGCTTAAATCCGTTGTTGACGGATCCACCGGGGTTGCAGCTAAAATTTTATATGTTTTAAAATAATATTACAAAACTAAATATGCGTCATTTTGATCGATGACGTTCTAGTAAGACCACAAACCCATATAGAATTTCTTGACGAAGGATTATGATAAATTTGCATCCCTCTATTGAAACAATCAACACCATCAAGGAAAAATTCTGCAAAAACTCAAATATTGGACGATCTAATGACGCAAAATCTACATTATACAGCGAATGAATAGAAATTTTCCATCCAAATTCTTTCAGTCTTTGCCAAGTAGCTAAAGATGTATATGGGCTCTCATATTGTCATGATGGAAGATAATTTTTTTTCTCTCGATTTTCTTCAATAACCTGTTGTAGGCTTGTTAGTTGTTAACAATGGAGGCCCAAATTAATTCTTCTACCAGGAAGCAGCAACTGATTATGCACGATTTTTTTCCAACCTCATGGAACACAGGATCATCCTTCTGAACGTCAATCTGGACTTTGCTACAAATCGTGGGCCACATTTTTTTAATTTGCAAATTACTGTTGTATGTGATCCATTTCTAATCATCTGTGACAACACATTTTAGAAATGGCTTGATCTTGTTGTCTTTCTGAGCTTCGCAAATGGAGTAACGATAGAGTAAATTTTTTTGCATTGATTTATGTGGCATCGAATTTTTCTTTTACAGCCGGCTTTGTCAGATAACTTAAAACTATTTGGTAATGGATGTTTAGTTCCTTAGCGATATAATGGTTACTCACGTATCGGCCTTGTCATCAACTTTTTTCGCATTTAGCCGAAGAGGAACATTTTTTAGATCAAAATTTAAAGAACGAAAGCGAAAAAACAAGTTTTAGGCTGTCTCTTCTAAAAACACATTTTGACCATAAAAAGCACAAATTAATGGTCCTGGGTAGCATTTGTGCCTTTATCTTAATTAAATTGTAAAGTATAGCTTATTCTTCCAGAACTTTCGCTCACGTTCAAGACGTTCAAGTCTAAATAAAGGCATTCCTGTTACTCACTTTATTACGTACATATATTACACGACTCATATAACGTGGAATATATGATCTAAAGCCATCTGGCTAGAAAAATCGTTAACAGTTGTTCGACCACCTAAAATATAGTGCTGAGTCAAAAAAGAATAGATAAATCATTTTTTAAATTTTTATTGGTTACTGGTCGTTCCGTTACCCACGCTTGTAGCGCCACGCTTGCCTGTATGTCTATTATCTATAGACCACATTCCCCAGAATTTGAACATGTGTTTTGTATATAATGCTTCAACGCAGTTCGAAAGTAGTAACCTTCGGTGCTGTTTCCTGTTTTGGAACACAATGGGGTACCCAAAAATATGTAATATGATTTGTGTTAAAAATAAGATCAAAAGTTCAAGTGATGTCAATTCTGAAGAACGCTTTTGTGTAAGTGTTACCAACGGTTTCGCGATGGAAAAGAAAACCTTAGGGACACTTCTCGTTTTGGGCGACCTGTCACGAAGAGTACGCGCGAAAACATCGAAAATGCAAATTGAGTAATTATGAAGGATCGACGAGTCAGGGAGTTCATAGAAGGGTCGTATATTTCATATAAGTCATGTCGAACCATTTGGAGATCCCATGTAGAGACGAAAAAGCTTGCAGCGAAAATTGTAGTAGGACCCTTCCCCGTCACCAATAGTTTTCGATGCTTTTAATTATTCCAACTGAATGAAAGTTCTCTTCAGTGTAACATCAAAGACTTGTTCACACCAGTAGCTCTACCCGGCTGGGCCTTACTTGTCTAGGGTTTCTCTGGATGGCCCATGAAATAATAACAATTGTTTTAAAAAACAATAATGCCCTTAAAAAAGAATTGGACTTGCTCCTTTACATTACACATAACAAAATGTAAGTATACAAAAAAGGACAGTTATTTAAGCATTGCTTCGAAAGTGAGCCCACTACAAACAGATCTCCAGGATTTGGGTCACAAATCGAATTCTTTTCCACCATATTTTTTGGCAACCAAGCAGTTGTGCGTTATGAATTCATACAGAAGGGTGCTATCACTTCTAAACAATATCATCAAAAAAAATTTCAAGAAGTATACACAGTATTTCATATTCATAAAGGATAGCCTTCATTCTGCAAGAATAAATGGTGGGATTTCCACTGCGATAATGCATTGACTTACATATTGCTGTTGGTATCCTATTTCTTGCAAAAAAAAAATGTTGGCTCAACCTTGATGTTCACCAGATGTAAATCCCTGTGGTTTTTCAGTTCTCTAAAGCTGTAGAAATATGTAGAAGTACAAAACTTTGAGACGATCGACGTAAAAACAAGGCAGATCTGAGGTCTACTCTATGAATTCGAACATTGCTTTGAAAATTGGAAAAAACAGTGGTGCGCGTTTGTTAAACATGACTAGAGCTGCTGTTAATCGAACAAGTAAAATACAGACGATTGAGCTAGGTGAGATAATAAAGAACCAAATTGTCGATGCTTTTTTAACAAAGTAGTATATGGTTAGTTGGGTTAATTAACAAGCTTCAAATGACAACATGTAAATCAAACATTTTTTAGAATTGCCTCCAAAGTTGTTTGCGTCAAAACATTTCAAGAGTGTTGTACGAGAGAAATTTACATTTCCGCAAGGAGATCTTAATATATTGAGCTAAAAAACAGAGGCACTATTTTATAAAAGAAAATCTGCTGTTCATGGTGACGATTACCCCTCATTAAATGTTTTAAAATTAATTTATAAACTATTTGAGTTACTTAATCCATATTTTTTTTGCTTTTGGATGGGTAACGGCCAAAAATATAATGCATTTTTTTTAATGTGAAGAGTTGCATTCTACGGTGAACTGATTCTTGGTTGACCTGTTAACGAACAAATCAATTTCGATAAAACTTCCGAAGTTCGGTGTGTAGACCATTTTGAACTTATACAAACAGAACAATTTAATAACATTACAAAAGTTATTGTAGATCTGAATGCAGCCTCTGTGGCATCGACGACAGTTTTATACCTAGAACCATTTAGGAATTATAACTAAAATGTAAAATTGTATAGCTTTATTGCGTGGAGTGCTGAAATCGTAGTAAATCTAGGAAGAAATTATAGTCAAAACGTAAATACTTTTACAAGATTTATGTACGGCTCCAAGACTGCTTAACATGGGCAGCCTCAACAACAATCCTAAAAAATTAACTCAAAAAGAAGAAAACATTACTATATTTTTTGCCGAGATCTTCTCTTACAAGTGGCGTGAAAGTGAATGGAAGTCGAAGACCAACTTTTAACGGCATTGAGTAGAGATAATGTTTTAAAGAAAATAATACATACCTTCGAATAACAATGGGTTTTCCAGAGGCCTTTTTTCACTAGCATGTGAATGAATTTCAGATATCAATGTGTCGTGCTTGTTTATACAGAGAGCTATACGCCAGGTTAAAACAACTATTAGTGTGAAAGCTATTCTTTGTGGAACCATTTCGTCTACACTTAAGTTCTTCTAGAACGAAATTTAGATTCTTACACGATGAATGATTTACCTTTATTATATACCTAAAAAACCATCAGATTTGAACTAGAAATATGATATTCTTGAAAGAACTACCACGATATTGTGGTATATGCATGACAAAACGCGTCTCACGACTTTAATTCAATTACATTGAATGCGGGCAGAAGTTTGTACAAACATAGTGTGATGTGTCTACAGAATTATAAGGAGTATATATAGCTAACATAATGCTCTCTACTCTAACAGATTCCTATTAAACTTACTTACATATTAGAAACAAAATCAGATCAGCGCTCGCACGCAAGTCTCTTTTTAACACATCTTTATCTTACCTCATCTAAGAAATGCATTCGGGTTTAAAAGTCAGAAAACGAAAAGTTGCAGTACTGGTTATACTGGTTATAATTTAAAACAAACCATTAATAAATAAATGCAGAAATGAACAAATTAAGATGCTATATTAGGGGGTCCGGTTCAAACTTACGCACCGCTAAGCCTCAATATAAAGTGAACATATGATACCTCATAGATGGCTCATGGCTAGTTCTTTCACAAGTCTTAAGATCAAGACTTCCCGAAGCAACCTATCAGGTATTATATTTCAGGACTTTAAGGTTTCCGATATTTCAAATACTATAATTTTTCGCCCCTAAACGACTGAGGGAATCGACCCATAAACTAGCCTTAAACAGCCCTCTGTGACCTATATATAATGCTATAAGCATATGTGACCTGTATAACCACCTAAAAGAAATAGATGGATAAAAATCACAATAATTAAAAGCACAAAATTTCAGTGACGATTATGGATTTGCTGTAGAGTGATGATTATCTGTCCTGACCGGTTATGTTTTTTATACCATTGGGTCTCCTTAGGGAGCGAATCAGAATCGTAGTAAAATAACATTTTCAGCTGAATCGTAACACATGTTTATATAGCGCACTGATTTAAACTAATTCCATAAACTCAAAAGATGTCCAAGTTTGGGTTCGAGCAGCATTGCTAATTACGCCGTCGTTTTAACGTTGAAGAATTTATATAATAGGATCTAACGTAATTATATAATATTATATTATTAATATAATAATAAGCTAATAAGCATATACATTTAACGCACTAATACAATAAAAAAACATCTAAATTGCGTCACTTTTATGCCTAGAATAATTTAATAACAATGATAATCAATAAATAGATGAAACTGTAGCTTGTGACTACATGTGAGTATGCATACAGCCCTGTGGCGGTTCTCTGAGACTGAAGTAATTTGATGCTTTTAATCACGATTGGAATATAGGGCTGTATTTTTAATTAATAAAATCGTATGTAACTTCTGAATGCTTATAAATACGATAGCGCAGGCAGCAACGCGGTTGTGGTGCGGTTTTCTATGTGTCAGTGCAGTGTGCTAGATATCTTCTTGTCAATACTGTACACATGTCATTTATTAAATGTTATTAATGTTATCTATAAAATGTTATTAACATTTTAATCTGTTCATCCTAATTTTTTCTACTTACGATGCATCGGTGCAAACTTTTACGATAGGTGGGCAAAGTACCCATCTTTGAAGCAATCGAACGTAGACAGGCTATAGTTATTAAAGCTTTATTAGAGAGTTATTATATGTTAATTAAGCAAAATGCATTTGTGGAAGCGCTATGCGACACCGCCTGGTTATGTCTTTATTACCAGTAACTGTTACTAGGGTACGATGAAAAACCTTTTGAAAAAAATTGTGTATCTTTTATTGGATGCTTTGAGCATGTATGGTTGTATGTAATGTGGCCATGGAGTACAGGGGGTCACGACTCCTGTGTTCCATGGTCACATTGCGACCTGATGATTACTGATACTTTTCCATTGTAGGCATCTTTCGCTTAAAGAAACCTTTCATACAAAAAAAAAAGAAGGCACCAAGATAGACTGACCCTCGCACCTTTAAACCGAGATAAGTATTTCGTGTGAGATGGTACAGTTACTGACACTCTATTCCACTCATACGTCCGTCTTAGCATTAGCAATCATTATTTTTATTTTTTCGCACCCGCTCCGCTAGTTGGGGTGGCTTTGAAAAATGGAGACCTTGCGTGATTTCCGCGTTCTTATGACCTAATGCCCTTCAGTTACTTCATTTCGAGTTATTTAAAATGTAGGTTTTATATAAAAGAGCTATATTCAATATTTAATATGCTAATATTCAAGCACCGATCAAGTCAATTAATCAAGATACTTGTCACTTCAGTTTTTGATACCTGGTTCATTTAAGCCTGGCAGACCATTTGTCCGAAGTTGTGTACCACACAAACTATTATCGAAAAGTTTAGTATGAAAATAAAACCAAACTAAGCTGTCGGTTTCAAGTGCACATAAATGTGCGGAGGACCATGGGAGTGTTCGAACAGTTGCTCAAGTACTCCAACCCAGGCTCAAGTGTTTAATTGTCTAATAACCTATTTTACAATAGCTAAGTGTATCTAAATACTTTGGTCTGACATTATAAAGCTCGGTAAGCACAATTTAAGAACTTCCTTTTTTTGCATGAAATCGATGGTCCACATTATCGCCAGTTTTCAAGCGGCTTTTATCAAAAATTTGTGAAGATTCCTCATGAGCTAAACCAGAACATCTTCAGTAATTTCAAAAACTCAATTTAAAATGCATCGCATAAAAAATAAGAATGGTTTAAAATGCCATTCTTGATACACTTAAAACTTGCAACTTTTTTAAAAATTTAATAGTCTTTTGAATAGAATAATATATACTATCAATTGGGTTGTGTCGATAGATTCGAACAGTGGATTTTTTCGAGACTTCTTGCATTTTTAAACCTTTAACCGTTTTAACTTTTGTATTTTTGGGTCTTTTGGCTAGATACCGGTCAGTTTTAATTGTAGTAGGATTTCTTATATATACCATATGTCAATAATACTTTAATGAGTTTATACCTACCAATATGGTTTGATGCCTGGTCACCATTAAAATTTGCGGGATTAAAAAAAAATGTTTCAAAAATTACTATTGAGTGGTTTACACTAGGCGATAATCGCGTTGAATAGTGTTTATATTGAATAAACATGAGCCTTAGGAATGCAAATCAATTCACTAAAATATCCGTTTTTGTTAGATATTGTCTTAGAAATAACTCGTGAAAGAAGCTGTATTTTGTGACTATGCAGCAGGATAACACCTAAATACTAACTAAATAAAAACTACTAAATAATTTCGCTATTTCTTTGTTATTTATTCTAAAGGCAGGAACTGTTTTGAAATATCACTTTAGATCCTTCGAAAACAGGCAGTTGCTTCCCACTTTTTAATTTTTACCCGCGTTTTGTATGTCCTGACGCAGCCCATTAAACATATTTATTATTGCGTCTTCAAACGCCTTCTTTTTGCCTGAAAGGTGTCAGTCCTTTACTCTATATATCCATATATAGTCGTGATCCAAATTATACCACGCAGTACTATTCTGCACTCTCCAAATTGTAATCACGTTTCTATGCTTCGAGTTTTACGTCCGGTATCACTGTAGGCATTCCATCACACGGCTGGGTCCCAGCGCAAAATGAATCCCTCACCGTCGGATATCAAAAATTGTATTTTTGATTTATGGATTCGAAAATTTCAAAGTGCCTACTAAACTGGATATTTCTAAACTCTCGTCGATCTTTTATAGCTCAAAAGTCTCTGGATTAGATCAAATTTCAGTAAAGGTACTCTTACGAATCTCTTGAATACTAGCATCTTTCACGGCTTAACCTCCTTGGACAACTTCAATACACTTTTCCAGTTGTCTTCATCGCTTTGTGTGCTTCTACATCTTATTGGTTTCTCACCAGCTTTGACGACGACTTTTGAGAGTGCGTAAAAGCTGCAGGCCTCGCAAGGCTGCTTTCTTTGATTTTAGTTATATATCTTTACTCAAATATATCTTTGACTAAAGACACTATGTTACGGTTCCACAATGCTTTATAAAATATCGCGATAATGACATTATGCGCACCCTTCATTCAATCAAGTTACTCAAATAGTATTTTATAAAAACAATAAAACCTCGCGCGGCATATTAGAGTAGTCTATATTAGAAAAATATTCTGAACACTCGTAAAACCATATTGTGTGTTTAAGTGAGTCTCACTGAGATCACTGAAGAAAGCCTTAAGGTAGATACAGGCTACAGAAACGGCATCGTTTTAATGGGAGGACTGCTGTGGTCACTCGGGTGGTCAGATTAGGAATTTTGTGCTAGAGGTTTATAGTACAACCAACGAGCTATGCTAAGCCAGAGAGGCGTTGTGATTGTGAAGAAGCCACTGTTACGTTGAAAGGATATAAGGCCATTTGGAGAGCACGTTTTTGCATCGTACCTAGGCAAAAGCTTCCGGTAACTTCGCATGTGTTCCTCTATGTGGTACTCACTGAACCACTGACTACAACTACCTTACGTAAGATTTTATAAATTTTCATAGCATCAACAACAATGGAGTTCACAAAGAGAACGGGTTTTTATTCTTTTTATAATAGTTCCTTTATATTCAGCTAGTCTGAAGTATCTGGGTCAAGCATATAATGCTAATCTCCTCTTCTGTGCTTCATGATCATCGTATTCATGTCATTGACGATGAAATAATTTATTCACAGAACATTTCTAGCTTCTCGACATAATCTGTAACTAGAAATACAACGAATTTCTAATTCAAGGTGTGATAGCTTTATGTGTGTGTCGCAATGCCACGTGTACACAAAGTTAGGTGAGGAAGGAAACTTTTATTCTAATATATTTTTCTAGGAAGAGAATGAGTTGTACGAGATGAAGATTGTGGATCACCGAAGCTTTTTTGTTGCTAAATGATATCAGTATAATTTTGTCATTATTTTCATGAAAGCAACATTGTATTGTGTACGATGTTAGTTTCTTTTAATTAAAACTTTATTTCGCTAATTGAAACATTTGACGTACTTATATCCGCACTTATATCCTTGACAGCTTAGGTATTCAGGGGAAGCAGGTATATTTGGGTTTACTCGTTCACCTGTATTTTATCACTGGGTATACTACGTACCTAAGCAGGTAAAGCCTCGTGTTTCCACAGAACCTGATTTTATTTATAAGAACACATTTTTTTTTAAATTAGCAATCACAAGAAGACACCCGCACTCAAAATCTTCAATATTCGAACCAGATTTTGTCTAAGGTGTCTTATTCTTAAACCTGCTGTTAGGAATTCGGAAAGTTTAACATCCAGTAGTGGTTAATCCTCAAAGTTACAAAAATTTCGTTCGTAAAACGTTCGTCGTTTTTCACAAAAGTTTGTTACAATGTTCAAATTAACAACTATATTGATCTTTTGTGCCTTTTTTTATTATCAAAACCTTATTTTAACGTAAGTTTTGAATGCCAAAGAAGTCTAACTACCTAACTTATTATGTGTTTATGACATCTTTAGTTACCTAGTCACATCTTGTAAGATGTACATGCCTTTGTTTTGGGATTTAGAAATCATTTAGATTCTATCAATATCTTATGGCCTTAAAATCTAATCTTGTAATTCCTTTCCATGGTTCACTCTCACAGTTTTCAACATATAAATTGTGTTCAATCTAAACCTACAATAGGACTAGACGAAAGCCAAAAGCCATTTAAAAAGGATTTTCACTTTTCTCATCCCTACTTAATCCAATTACAATGCACATAACTCATTAGAAACCGATTTCAAGCAAAATTTTAATTGCACTTGCGTTCCACTTTTTATTAATGGCCAATTGCTATTTTATATATGTTAGATGATATAGCATAATTAAATAGTCAGCGTCCCATGAGGCACTCGTCGATATATTACGTCACGTAGGCAACACAGATGTATTTCCAAATGCGTAAACACCAATTGCCCGTACAGCATATGTATATGGCACGTGGACGGTATTCGAAGCCATACGTCCATAAAATTAATACACCATTTTAATAACAGATGATTAACATCCGGAAGCGTTGTAATAATAACTAGATTTAACATTAGCTCACTCTACATAGTGAAGTCATGCAGGCATAAGGCACTTATGTCCAATACGTAGGTAGCTGTGGCCAAAGATTAAATTATTTTTAAAATTGTGCAATCGCTTGGATACTGATTAAGTGATGTGGCTGGAAATCACGGCGCGTTCTTGTACTGCATAAAGATGTTATACAGCACTCGCAGAGTTGACTTCAAATCGTAATTGACGATATCTGAAAATGTTGAATATTTAAAAAATTATAAGTTAATATTCAAAATGTCTGCATTTCACATTATTTCACACGGAAACCTCAGATATGGCTTAATTTTATATAGAGCGTTTTTAAATAACAAAGGTTATGTTAATTAGTTGACCTATTCCAACCAATGAGGTTTACCATATATACTGCATACGAGATAATTAATGCATTTAGCTACAGATCTTAAAAAATTGTTTTAGCCCACTATAGCCCTAACCATTTTTTCAAAAATGGTTAAAGATTCTTACCTTCAGGTCTCGCCTTGGGCTTGGGTAGCCCAGCATCCTTCATAAGGCCAAAGGCAAAAGCTACATTGTTTACTTTCTGCTCAAAGTTATTCGGCGTCAATGTGAGATAGTACAACGGAATGAAGTATCCTGTAGTGATATTCGGAGTCTTAAATTAATAAGTTAAATATGTTTAACCTTATAGTTTGACGTATTGTCACTACTCTTATTTTTCTATCTTAGGAGGCAGATCTGTCCCCATAAAACTAAGCTCTTGGCCTCACAAAGTGCATCAGAAAAGATTTCACTAATTTTTACCTTAGCGATGGTGTTATAGAACAGCAATGAACTTACAGAATGAATTGATAACCTGAGCTACAGTTTGTTAACCAAAGAGCACTACCTTAAAGAAAACAATAGCGGATTAGCTGAAGATAAAACGAACACAATAAAATCAGGTGCTATAAACTAGCCACAAAAACACGAAAAGGATGATGATTTAAATTCGGATGGAATATTACAACTGAAGTAAGTTCCTCGGTGTAAAATAGGACAAAGCTTTTTACATGAGCAAAACAGTTTTGTTGCCTTAAAAATGTGTTCAATTAATATAACACAGCGTTAAAAACAGTTTGAAGCCTTCCAAAAAATGGCATATAATAACAACATGTCATTTACATATTTTTTTTGTTAGTTTGGATTTAAGAAGAAGCTTTTTGCAACACATTTCGTAACACAGGGTGATCTAAATGATCATAATAGATGCTGATATATATAGGTACAAGCTTCAATATCTTCGAACAGTAATGATAATTATTATATATAGTGGAAAATATGTTATATCTTCTATAATTCATTTCAATTATAGCGAAACTAAAAAAGCAAAAAGAGTGACTACAACAAAGAATAAAATTGGCAGATTTCGTCAAATATTTTTTTAGAGGAAGTTATTATTATGAAAATGATTACTGCATATTATAAATTATTGCACATTGAGAAATAACACGTTTACTTTAACGGCAATAGGATAGCAAAATTTATAGTAGGGACAGCAAGCTTGTCCAGTTAATAACAAGCTCGTAGAGTAAAGGATCCTTTAATAACATATATTGACACTTTGTTATTAGCAAATAAAAATCCGCAATTATAAGTATCAGGAGTTATACAGGCAAATATTAGTACACATGTTAGCTATAAAAAGGTTAGAAATTATTTCAGTAGGTAGATGGCTTCATACCTTCAAGTAGTCCCATCAGAAGCGCGAGATAAAAGCCATCATGGAACTGTTTGTCAAGATCTGTGACCTTGATATTGATCTTGTTTAGGTGTTTGTTTACGAAAGTCAAAAGGGACTTCTTCACTACCGTCAACTTATCAGGTGCGTGGTCGAAAAGTTGATCAAATGCATCGCGTTCCACCTTCATGCCGTATTCACTACACACAGACCAAGAAAAGTTATCAATTGATTACACCAAAGTACACAAATTCCGCAAATAAATTGCATTTATTTTAATTTCAGCCACACATAAATCAATGATCGTATTATATATATGTTAAAAACATTAAATACCTTGGCTGTTTACATGTCTTGTAGCTAGATAAAATGTAAAAAAAAGGTTTTAATGTACGCATAAATTTCGCCACTAGTTTTTATACGATTCTAAATGATTTGAGTGCAATTGTGAAATTAGCATATGAATTTTTTAAATTTTTTATGACTTGAAGATATAGAAGTAACAAGTTAAAAACTTTATATTTTATATAAAAATAACTTTATATAAAAACAACCTAATAGAGACCACAAGCAATTTCTTTTAAAGAAGACTTTCTCGGTGCTGTAATCATCTGTAATCCAACACTTGTCTCCATAGAACCCACATGTCTTTAACACTGACACCTGTTCATATATTTTACTCTTCATCGATATTACTATTGAGACAGAAGCATTTCTCTCATTAAACATCCAATGTTGGAAAAAGTAGTTTACTGCTACGGACAATAAAAGGATAGCATGTGCGATCGGATACGTTTTATAAACAAGTCGCTTATAATAGATTTTCTCACCTAATCGGATTTATATTTTTAAAGCGAACTAAAAAACTAAAGTGTGAGATTTAGTTTTATTTTTTATGTTGCCTAATCCTCTTGTGTTATTTATTATTCTGTTGTCCAGAACACGACAAAAAGTTAGACAATCCACTTTCGAATGTATGCAACCGGGACGAAATTCAGCATTGCCTCACACAGTTTCGCTGCCCTAAGGCTTCTTTCTAACTTTCTGCAGGCAGCAGGCAAACGCGTTACCATCAAGGCAGAAAAAACATTATGGATGTAGAAATTCGGTATGTAACTATCTTTTCAGTTTGTAATCATACGCAAGCGTAACCTTCCTTTATAATTTTAAATTTACTTCCTTTACAATTGTAAATACTATACTAATATTTCACGTTATAACGTAGATCTTTATGGGAAAATAGATATACCGAAATACGTTAAAATTCGACACCAATACTATAAATACGCACTCGTATGTTCTCGTGAGCTGTTCCTGAAGTTTTGCGGGAACCAACTGTCCATTCCTTTTGGTAACTGATACAACACTGACGACGACATTCTCAGGAAGTCGAGCTCGTACAGGAGCCCTAAAATGTCTGGCTAACGCCACAAGTAGGTGTACTATTGCAACGACGTTTTTTGAGTGAACGGCATCCACGCTCCATTTAAGACCGTGACCCCATGTAGGGACCCCGAGCGCCTGTGAGGCTCTTTCCAGTACCACTTTAAGTTTTTCCCGTTGTCCTTCTTCATTCTGAGTCATCTCGACAACATCAATGCGAGAGTTCGTGAGTTGTTCTGACGTAATGGTAGCATTGTTATCAAAAAAAAAAAATAAGGAAGAATTTGTCAATCTTGTGGACAGAAGTCAGACAAAAACTAATTGATGACCACCCACCTAGATATATTACTTGCAATAATTTATAGAAATTCGGTCTTTGATTTGGCGAAGCCAATTTGAGTGGATGGGTGGAGCCCTTTAACATTATATGTCTTTGATTCAATATTTGAACTTCTAAAAATAAAACCGCTGCATTATATATATATATATATTTGACCCACCTAGGAGTTTGTGAAGTATTTGTCCGTCATACAGATCTTCCTCAATGTTCTTTACGATGATTCTGTGCTTAGCCAGTTCGTCATTAATCCACTCAACGAGAATGTTGACAAGCTCTTTAAATTGCGGGCTTTCATATGATTCACGCTCGATAACAGCACGTTCTTCGCCCTCTTCCAAAAGGCAATCTTCCGGCAGCAATTCGTTGTCTAGAATACGTCCTTCGTAATCGATAGCTTTTGCTTCCTCTGCATCTAGTTCCTCGACTGTAAAATTTCCAGCGGAACAGTGATTTTCAAAAATACAGCTACCGTAAAAACATATAGATCATCTGATGCTTTTTTGGTAATACTGTTCCACTATGAAGAATTATCACTACAGCTTCTTAAGGATATTGAAAGCTTCTGCAAACTAACAAATGTAATTTAATTTACAGAAATTTCTCTATTTGCTCCTAAGAAAGCGCTTTAGACCGAAGTTTGAGTACGCGATACTTGAAACAAGTCAACACTGTGCAAAATTCGCCCAACGGCCCAATGGGCGGCGCGCCCAGTGTAAAAGGCGCGCCGGCCATTTTCTTCTACAATCGTCGCAGTTCAAATATTTTGTCGCCCGGAAACTCATTAAAAGATAACCGCACAATTGTACACAACACATTATACATAAAGTAAACCAGGCTGCTTAGTCAAACATTGGCTGACTCCATTTTACGCTGGACGATTAAACTAGTCTCAGTTCCGTGAAGCAGAGGAGAAGAACGTAAAATTAATTGTGTGTACGAAACATCTGAATTAAGCTAGTGTTGAGTCCAGCTTGCTATCATTTTGTACAGACATAATCTGTATAGTAGCCAATAGTAATATGTATATAGAAAATAATAAAAGGTTGACGTGTCAGCGCTGATGTATAAACCTGACACTTCAGAAGAATGTATCAAGTGTTTGACAGTTGATCGTGTTTATATAATATTAGTGAGGTGTCTATGTTCACCCTTTTCGTTAGCTTATATCACAACAAAAATGTTTGTCTTAGCTGGTTTGGGTTTTTTAGATTCTGAATGACATTTGACGGTTTCTTGAATAATATGAAGTATAGAATTTCTTGAAATTGGCGAAAAGTCTAGGACCCTTAGCTTCGATGGCTAAAGCAGAAAAAAAAAAAGAAAAGTGAGACTGTGGGAGAAGGCTACGTTGCTCAAACAAGGAACGGGTTACCATCAAGCTTCTAGCACGAAAATATACGCGTAGCCCAGAAATTAGCGGAAAATATTTGTATACAGTTTAAAAAGCGCAGAATTTGTCTCAGCCCAATCTGATTGGTACCCACAGAGCTCAAATAGACTTAAGAGTAAATCATTGGTCGTTATGAGCAAAGCCGTTTTGTGTTGGGTTTGGCCCTGTTAACAGTCTAGTTGTTTTTATTTTCGTATCGTTGGTAAAGCAGATCGCAAAACAACGTTATCAGGGTGATTCAATAGTTGAAATATGCCGTTTCAACTGATATCGATGTGGATAGACGCATCACAGACTATTCATTTATTTCATCAAATTCCGTTTTGCAACCTTATTCTTGGTACTAAATCAAGTTGCGAATACTGTGTCACAATTCAGCTTATTTGTAACTCGGGAGAAAAAAATGATCTATTTACCCCGTTCACAGAACACCTTGAAGTATAATCATTATCGTTCCTATCAAATAATCATTTTGCGATATGCATAGTTTCTAAATAAAACATTGGCTTGTTTAAATCGTGATACCACCGAGTTCTCATCGTTTGTTGGCAAATATATAATATTACAACGAAGTGGTTAAGTAAATCTAACAGCTTATTTACGACCAGTGTCTGGTATTATTTTAAAAGCGGTACAATAGTATAATCTGATCATTGACTCACTAGACAGGTCAACCATAAACGGTGGCCAATAAAACACACTATGTCAGATATGACTAGTACATATACTGGCTAAGCTATTTAGCAATTATACATTACAATAATTTGAGCGGTAGCTGTTTGCAGTGTTTACAATGATTCCATCGCTAATAAATAACAAAGTACCACACCGGCTAATAACATCACAATACAATGCAGACTTTTTATTTGTAACGATCGAAGCATTTAGTAGTTTACTTTTAGTAGTGCAACAGCAATCCAGTAAGGCCTCGATGATCAGTGAATGGCTAATGAAGAAAGCCTGCTGATATTTTATGTACCTAAGGATTAAGATAACTGGACAGGGCCTCGTTGAATATGAAATACAGTTTCAAAATTAAGAAAGTAGACCTTTCAAATCTACCGACCTTCCTTAATCTTCTTCCTACGACCGAGGGTTCCAAGATATTCAAGAAACGATTCTTCTTTTTTCTTCGGAGTATGGACGGGTTTTGGGCTCTTTGGCTGTGGTGAAGTCATTCTTGTCCTACTCGACTAATATTCGGCAAACACACGACTACTTGATGAAACCGGACAAAAAGCTACAATAGTTTAAGCAAGAAGTGAACAGTCGCTGCCTATGTTCGTAATAAATGCACAACTCTATAGCCGCTTTTAACAATGAACGTAAAAGGAGCGCTTTCAACCAACGCAGTGATGTCCGAGTAAGAAAAGTTAAGATGGCTGGCCAAAACAAACAAGAAGTACCGCGATAATTCAATTGGATATTTTAGATATTTTGACAGTAAAGAGAGGCTCTAAATAAAAGCAATATAAAGCGATTTATGCATGAATGCAGGTATGTATTTTTCGAGATTATATATGTATATATAAGGAAAATAAGATATTATTTGTCCTCTCATATAGAAGCATGTTTGACAAATGTATACTATTTTTATAGCACTGTGTTTGTATTAAGTTTTTTAAATTCAGAAGTTTTAAAGCGAGTGTGTAACCTTGGTTTGATTGAAGCTCTATAGTGGAAACGGCATTTTGAAAACTCTCAGAATCTAAAAATGTAAAAAGCTCCCACGCAGACTGTAAATTTAGTTGTCGTTTAGTATACATTATACCTAAGAATTTTATTACAATATATTAGGCTTCAAGGATAAAAACTAACATTTGAGCGAAACGTTCTTTTAGGAGTTTTTAAGCAGCGGTACAGATTTTTAGCACAATTCCCAAGATCTATTTTGTCACACTCGTTTGTATTTGCACATTTTGGTTTCGATAGTTTTGAGTTTTAAACTTTAATCTAAGTTAAGTTCCAACTTTAAATGCGTGTAAATAAAACATTTAAAAAAGACGCGTTAACAGTACGCCTTATAGAACTATGGTAATGGAAAAATTCACCGCTGCGCTATGTTCGAAGACAAAATAGTTACGATTCTTATTTTCCATGAAATTGATTAAAATAAATGGTGACAAACATTAATCTCAGACCTCAAGATATCGCTATGTTACAATAGTGTAACATTTTGCGATATTTCTTTTTACATTTAAGATGCACTGGTATTCCGTAAAATGTCAGACCATTTAGCCGTATAAAGTTACTCGGGCTTTTAGCGATCGAGCTTCCCAAAATCGGAAATCTTCAGTGATTTACAAATATGGGTTCCGTTTTAGAATTACAGCGGTAGAAACAACTCGGTGAATAAATTTTCTACCCTATAAAGGTTTTACTACTAGAAAGGCCACTTTAAAAATGAGTTTCGCAGAAGACCCACTGCGAAACTCATTTTTATGGTGTATGTTGGTGTATGTGAAAGTTGTAAAGATATCACACTTGTCAACTTTGGTAAAATAATAGGATAAAAACACTGGATAAGTAATTGCGGCATGGTTAGCGAAGACTAGTGACCAGAGGTCAACCACTCTTATGCACATGAAATAATCTAAGCGGCAAAAATGCGGAAGTTACAGTTGGAGGCTCTCTGCTATTCACCACAATCGCCAGATATTACTTTCACAAATTGCCGAGACTGTTCCTTTAAAATCTCGACAAGCTCTGAAAGTAAAGTGTTCAAATCTCAATATCGTTGAAATTGTGGTTTGTAACTTGATAAATTTCTGTACCCCAATATAGGGATAAGTGGGCTGCCGTCTAATAGTAATACATACTTCGATTGAAAAAAGGACTGTGTCTGTGAAAAAGTTTTGAAAATTCATTACGTCACCTTTTTTGCTTAATCTCATACTGAACGATTTAATATATTTGGAATAATCAGTTTCTTCTTACAATGCTATTTATACGTACAACTAAACGTCCCAAAGTGGCAACTATAGATCACTTTTTGGGTGAATATGGCTCGTAGAGTTTTATATCAAAAGGTACCTGCCTGTGTTTTATTTTTAAAGTTGTTATTAAACATTAAGTCGAGATCAATGTTAACCCACTTTAATAGGTAAACCGATTTGAATTTTAATCAGCGTACGCATGACTAATACTGAAAACACATCTGTTGTATTTTTTAAATGATGAAAGATGAAAACGCAACAACTTTACATATATTTGTATAAAAATAGTAAAACTACTTACACGTGCTGCTATAAACTATGGCCTATTAAAGATATATATAATCCATGTGGATAAATAGGTACTGAAGCGTCAGACAGTATATAATCTAAATGTTGTATAATATCAAAACAGCTTGAATTTTAGGAACATTAAAATGATGAAGTCCCATATATACATTGTTCGAAGAGATCATGTACATAAGCAATAAGTGACCTTTTGATTTATAATAATTTACAAAAGGTCGATTTAGTAGACAAACTTTTTAGCGTAGCTCATAATAATCTTTAGTAAAGTTGCTGCTCGAGCTAGAAATCGGTTCTTTGCAATCGCCCGACTTACCACATATTGAATCTGTTTGCTTGGCATGTGCTCAGATAGTTTATGAATTCAACGTAATAAAAAACTTGGATTGTCTTTCTTCAACGTGTGCTAATGCATTGCTCCTCTGGTAATAATAACTGTACGTGGTTGCTGTAAAAAAGAGAAGTATTTCTTTAAAAAATTTTACACACGTCTACAATTGAAGTTAAAAAATGTTGGTTGAATTAATTTTATTATTTTTCCACCAGCTGTATAAAAAAAGCAATATTTTTTTACGTATATCCGTCTAATAATTACCACATTTCCTTGACGAAGATTTCAATATGCACCTTAGCGAAATCTTGGAGAGAACATTAAAATATAATTATTTTTAGACTGATGACCCAGAACTCAATAGTACCGAACCGCGTACAATAATTGCCTCAGGTTTAGTATTTATGAAGTATGGCTAACAATATTTAAAAAAAGACCATTATCAGGTCGAATAATTCTGAAAGCACACGGGAGATTTTTTTATGATTCAATGTAAGTGTGCATAAGTAGTATTCACTGGATTGGGGTGTGCGAAAACAGCACCAAAGGAGAACGATATATATAGGCCCTTTTCTTTTATTAATGGTTTAGTACAACTATAGCGATTTTATTTTCTCAACCATTTTTGAACCAACGAAATTACGATTTATAACATTAAGACACAACATTCAGATCCAGGGCTTTTCTCGCTCTATAAATACTAGCCATTTCACTGGCGAATAAATGGCATAGGTATTTCCAACGAGTTTACCGTTAATCACGACTTCGTTAATATGAACTCCTTCGAACCTATTTGACGGTTTCTCTCATATACCGAGAGTGCTATGTATTCGGGGCTAACAACAGGATATATACGAAGAAAGGTTAGTTTAGATATATTGATAAATAGGCAGTTACGATGTCAATCCGTTCGCAACAGAAAGAGGATTCACTTAACTCTAGGCCACTCGATACAACGGGATTTACCATGAGCAATGTCATCTGAGACGCCTCTTTATTCTTGGAACCTTATCCACAAGACTAGCGTAACTAGCAAACGTAGTTCGCTATTACTAGGCGGATTTATTCGGCATTTACGATATATTTTAATTAAAGTTCACAGGAATTTCCGGTTTCCGTGGGTCGATAGCAGCAAATGTATTTCTGGCGAAAAGAGGTTTAGCTAAATTCCCAAATAATCCCAAAAACTGTTTTCACTGTTTGCCTCTTTAGAGCTGAAAAGTAATTACAGGGAATCGATTACCAACCGAAGAGTAGACATTAAATACGGGGCAGTGCCTAGGTAGGTGATAAATCATATCCAAAGACACTTGATCAGTCGTGAAATTCTTCTTAAAGTTTTAATTTAAGTTTTTATTAGACAAGTTAGACTAAATATGGCCATAAGGCAAAAAAAATTCGACAACAGTTACCTCAGAGATCTGATTACAGAATCCAAACAAAACTAAAAGGTTCATACACCGGAATTACTGATATTAAAAGTCTTAGAAGTAACACAGATATATTTGAGAAGAGGGTTTCGATAGCTTTTTAAAGCAGAACAACAGAACCAAAAGGTACCTGGTAAACGCTCGCTTAGTCAAGTTATTCATTCTCAATTTGATCTCAAATGCTCAATTTTATCTTCTCGTCTTTCAAAATATATTAAACAAACAAACGTAATCTAAGTGTGTGCACAAAGTGATGGTTGGCGGATAGCTTTTACTCTATAGTTCGGGGTTTATCTAGCGCAATACAAGTAGTATTTATTAAAGGTATAATGAATATGTATATTCAAACGAAGTTTTCCAAGGGTCTTTCTAAGTAGAGTGCATTAATCTTTGCTCATTATTATCCAAATCGTCAAGTGCGAATTAGTGGTTTTATGATCGAACTAACGAAACTTAAGCAGCCGTCCTGCGTTAGTAAATCTTACGCTATATGTATTTCTCATAATTTAGGTTCTAACTATGCAAAAGGCTTAAAAAACAAACACTAACTTCCCGCTCTTTAGGTTTTTCGAATAGCTAGCTATATTACTCAGATAATTTTCAAGTATCTTACATTAGAAGATTAAAATGCCACAGATCGGTTCTGGGTTTTTTTCTTTACTTAAAGAGAATGCTAGAAGTTGATAAGTAGGAATGATCTCCTTATATCCTTCTAATATGCCGCTTTTTATTGAAGATATTTAGTTTCATTGAAACCTAGAACTATCAGGAGCGCGTATTGTAAGGCTTTACAGAATTGGGAAAATCTAGATTATAATGCATAACTGCTGATGACGATGTCTTTGACCATGCTTCATCTTATGCTACGGCACACAAGAGACGAGTTTCATGCCATACATCATCAATCAGCCTTCTTCATCGAATTGAGGCCATTTATGATGTTATCGCTTGTCAATATAGGAATCAGTCGAGTATCTTTTTTCCAGAGCCGCACATTCTGCCGCTACCCCCAAAAATATTTAAAAGCCACGTCGTATCCTTTTTTAAAAAATATATTTTCCACTTCGCATCCTTGGTACTGAACAGTGTATTCGAAAAGCTGGATCAAACGTCTAAAGGTTATTCAAGGATTCTTTTTCAGAACATTCAGAAAGTTCTATTCATATCGTACCTGGGATAAAATACTCGATACGCCGTCATTAGTCATTTATTTTACTATCACATTTATTTTGAAAATATTCTCATATTATTTAAAAAAGAGCCTTAATACTATCCTGTAAATATTTTGCTTCTATTTCAACCATACCATCAATAAATTCGTGAGTTCGAAAAATCTTATCGCACGCAGGTG